CTCCTCTCCTTGAATGTGAGCAGAACGTGTAAATATGAGATTATCAATCAAAACCTATATTACAGGGCAAAAACGGTATTACCTAGGTTGGCCTAAACTAATATATGATCTCTTTAAAAAACAAAGAGTTTTCTTTGACAGGTTGCAGGAGAGGAAGTCAGAGATTTGACAGCTAACAGATAATGTGAAGCTCAGTAGCAAGTTGTCAAAGAAATGAATTCTACCTACAACCAATGAACTTGGAAGAGAGTCCCAAGTCTGAAATAAGAAGCCCATCCCTGGACAACACCTTTATTTCAGCCTAGTGAAACCCTGAGAAGAGAATTCTATGATACTGTACCTAGACTTCTGGCCTACACAACTGTAAGATAATAAATACGTGTTGTTTTAAGCTGTGCAGTTTGTGGTAATTTGTTCCACAGCAATAGAAAACTGATACAAGCTGGGCGTGGTTGCTCACACCTGTAATCCCAGTACTCTAGGAGGCCCAGGAAGGCAGATTACTTGAGCCCAGGAGTTTGAGACCAGGCTGGGAAACATGGTGAAACCCTGTCTCTACAAAAAAATCACCCAAGCATGATGGTGTGCACCTGTAGTACCAGCTCTTTAGGAGGCTGAGTTGGGAGGATTGCTTGAGCCCAGGAGGTCAAAGCTGCAGTGAGCTGTGATCATGCCACTGCACTCCCGACAACTGAGCAAGACCCTGTCTCAAAAAAAAAATAAGAAAACTAATACAAATTCAAGAATACAAGGAAGAAACTAATACAAAAAGAAACAAACACAAAACTAATAAAAATACAATAACTGTACTTGCTAAGTCAATTATGACTATCTAAGAATCCTCTAATATAGTGTATGTAGACCTTCTAAGAAACTTCTAGTTCTAAAATTCTGGAATTTTAATAAGCTCCTTTGATAATGTATGTCAGTCACTAAAGCTCGTTTACTAATAACCCCATTAGTGAATTTAACTGATGACATACTTTAGTATTTGTGAAATATTTCTTTACACCAACAATAAATAAGCAGAGAGCCAAATCATGAATGAACTTCCATGCACAATCAGTACAAAGAAAATAAAATACCTAGGAATACAGCTAACAAGGGATATGAAAGACCTCTTCAAGGATAACTATAAAACACTGCTCAAGGAAATAAAAGAGGACACAAACAAATGGAAAAACATTCCATCTTTGTGGACAGGAAGAATCAATATCGTGAAAATGGTCATACTGCCCAAAGGAATTTACAGATTCAGTGCTATGCCCATCAAGCTACCATTGACATTCTTCACAGAATTAGAAAAAACTGTTTTAAATCTCACATGGAATCAAAGAAGGCCTCATATAGCCAAGACAATCCTAAGCAAAATGAACAAAGCTGGAGGCATCAGGCTGCCTGACTTCAAACTATACTACAAGGCTACAGTAACAAAAACAGGATAGCACTGGTACCAAAACAGACATATAGATCAATGGAACAGAACAGAGACAGCAGAAATCACACCACACGTCTGCAACCATCTGATGTCAGACAAACATGCCAAAAACAAGCAAAGGGGAAAGGATCTCCTATTTAGTAAATAATGCTGAGAAAACTGGCTAGCCATATGCAGAAAACTGAAACCGGACCCCTTCCTTGCACCTTATACAAAAATTATCTCAAAATGGAGTGCAAACTTAAATGTCAAACCCTAAACCATAAAAACCCTAGAAGCAAACCTAGGCAATACCATTCAGGACAGGCATGGGCAAAGACTTCATGACAAAAAAACCAAAAGTATTGGCAACAAAAGCAAAAACTGACATATGGGATCTAATTAAACTAAAGAGCTTCTGCAGAGCAAAACAAACTATCATCAGAGCAAACAGGCAACCTACAGAATAGGAGAAATTTTGCAATCTACCCATCTGACAAAGGTCTAATATCCAGAATTTACAAGGAACTTAAATTTACAATTAACAAAAAACAGCAAAAAGTGGGCAGAGGATACTAACAGATGCTTCTCAAAAGTAGACATTTATGTGGCCAACAAACATATGAAAAAAAGCTCATCATTGCTATCATCAGAGAAATGAAAATCAAAACCACAATGAGATACCATCTCACACCAGTCAGAACGGTGATTATTAATAAGTCAGGAAACAATAGATTCTGGTGAGACTGCAGAGAAATAGGAATGCTTTTACACTGTTGGTGAGAATGTAAATTAGCTCAACCATTGTAAAAGACAGTATGGAGATTACTTGAAGCTCTAGAACCAGAAATATCATTTTACCCAGCAATCCCTTTACTGGGTGTATACTCAAAGGAATATAAATCATTCCACTATAAAGACACATGCAAATGTATGTGTCTTTTAGGACTTTGTTATTGTAAATAGTACTGCAGCACTATTTACAATAGCAAAGACATGGAACCAACCCAAATGCCCATCAATAAAAAACTGAATAAAGAAAATGTGGCACATACATACCATGGAATACTATGTAGCCATAAAAAGGAATGAGATCATGTCCCTGTCAGGGACATGGATGAAGCTAGAAGCCATCAACAGAAAACCAAATACTGCATATTCTCACTCATCAATGGGAGTTGAACATTGAGAAAACAGGCACACAGGGGAAGGACACACATCAGGGCCTGTTGAGGGGTGGAAGCTGAGGGGAGGCAACTTATCAAGGGCAGTTCAATAGGTGCAGCAAACTGCCATGACACATGTATACCTGTGTGACAAGACTGCACTTTCTGCATATCTACCCCATTATTTTTAGAAGAAATTAGAAACACAACAAACTTAAATACTATAAAAATACAAAATTTTAAAAATTGTTTAAAATAAAGTCCAAAAACTATGTATTTCAGATTTTTTTAGTAAACAAAGTTTCTTTGTGTTATTACACTGTAGGGGCTTTGTATAAAATTTTAGCAAATTTACAGCATTTATGGGAAATATTTTGACTTTGGTCATCAAAACGTGTGTGAAAATTGTAGGTTATTCAAATCACATGCTCATTTAATGTTACCTTAGAGTGTTTTCCAACATGAGGATTTGATCCAATGTCCATAATTTCAAAGGATATAAATCTGGTAACCATAAAATGGGAAGCCAGCAGAGCCAAGTATAGAAACCATGTGCAGTGAAGCAAGCACATTTCCATTTGGTCTCCGTATTCTTTACTCTGGAGAAACCCTATTCCTCCCAAACAAATCTTGTTTTACTTACATCTGTTTTAAATAGCTAGTATGTACAGCAAACTGCCACATATGGTAACAGAGATCGTATCATTTAAGAGGCATTTGATATTGATATTAAAGTATTTTTAATTGAAACAAATTAGTCACAAACCCCAATTTAAACAATACCTCTTCTGGGTGAAAAGCATCTCAAATATTTAAAAATTTCTTTATGCAAAACTCTTCTAAGAATAAAGAAAATGAAAAGAAGTTATTCTATCTTTTCCCTGACGAGTAAGCCTGCATGACACTTATTTTATAAACCTGAACAGTAGCTGTTTTTAGTTTTAGTTTGTATTGCAAGAAGGATCATCAGTGGCAATTCTGAACCAAAACAAAACAAAACAAAACAAAACAAAACAAAAAGCCTGGTTTGCCAAAAATAGAAAACAACACACACTTCCAAAAAGTGATATATAGTTCTTTAGCAATGAATAAGGCAATCTTTCTTTGCAGCACGGACGAGGGGATTAAATCTTATTTATTTTTAAAACCAAACCACTAGGAAAATATATCACAACCTGGAAATAGCAAATGGTCAGGCTATATTATCATTTCAATAATCAGTTGGTGAAAATACAATGAGGTTGCTATCAAAACAATAAGGTGCCATGCCAGGGCAGGAACACTGCAAGTTGCGAAAGCCCCCGGCAAAAATGGTATTTGGTAATGGGGGCTTCGTCTCCTTTGCTCTAAGGGAGTCAGCTCACCCTGGCCAGTGTTTCCTTCTTCTCCCTTCAATTTCCTGTTGCCTGGGGTTTGTCTCAAATGGGCTTTACTAATCCAGGAACCAAGGAAGCAATGCTCGGTTTAGGCTTTCATCTCATTCTCTTCCTATTAAAACCAGGTTTTTCCAAACCCAGTACTTCATAACTCTCTTATAAGCAACTAGCTAACTGTTCTTCTTTTACTGTTCATTCCTAGATACTAGTATATATCACAATCAAAATCCCCTTCTCTTCGAGGGGTAAGTGTTACTGCAGGATTGTCCTGTCATATTCCTACACACAGCCTCAGGCACCATCAGCCAGTAAGACGGAAGCTCTGCTTCCCATAATTAGTGTGTCGTCACCTCTCATGTTTTTGCATGGTCTCCAGGCTGGAAGATGCAACACGGAATAATTTTAAGAAATGCACATCCACATCCTGATGACCAGAAATGGGGATCCATAAGCAACTCTTCCACATTCTTACGAAACTACTCTCCTTCCCAATTCCAGATCTTAAAATCAAATTGTATACTCTTGTATAAATTACACAAAATCAAGAAAACAAAGACCCACAAATTTTCTTTCCCATTCTAAATTAGTGACCTCATGGATTTTGTTTCACACCTTACAGAAAATGGTGTGACACTTCTGGCAAACAGGATGTTGGCAAGAAAGATAGATTATCTCTCCTCAAATTCCATCAACTCTAACCTGCCAGCCTGTTGGTATCTGTGTAGTAACAAGAGTTGGGTACCTTGGAGGGCTTGTTAAAGGAGAGATCTTTACTGCCAGGATAAGCACTAGCCACAGAAAACATAGGCTCTAAAAGCTCCTGTAATATCTCTGACCCATTTTAGCAGCACTTTTTCCCATTTCACTTTTTAGGACTGAAACATAAAAGAACCAGTGTCCAGGGGCAAGTGGCACATGTCTTACACTTGTTGCCATCCTTAATTTCTTCATTCATAAACTTTGCTTAAAAGACTAAAATTCCCAAGGCCTTATAGAAAATATATTCTTGCCCTCAGCCCCAATGGCCACTGGCAAAGACTTTTATTCCCCAATGGATAAAAGAGTCTCCTTCATCTTCTTCGTCATGGTTGGGATGAGGTGCAAGTGGTCATCTACGCACTTGGTCGCACAACAGTTCAGCTGCTGCTTCACCTGAAGCTCCTTAGTCCCAGCATCTATTGAATCTTTGGCTTTGTTATTGCAATACGTAGTGCAACAGGCCAGGTGGTCCTGGAACTTCTCCAACTTACTGGTGACCAAGATCTGGGCTTGAGCCAGAGGCACATGGCAGTGCTTGATGCACTGATGCACCTGCTGCATGGATACCTGGCTGTCCTCACCACAGCTGGCACTGCACTGTAACAAGAGACTTTGCATCTTCTGGAAGTTTTCTCTCTTCAGACCCTTCACCATAGAGTCTACCATCTCCTGCACCTGCAGCTGCTGCAATTCCGCCATGACAACCCCACGATGCCCCATGCTGTGCCAGTGCCCACCACTAAGGCAATCTTAACCAGGTAAATGTAAATAGGATGTCTGTGGCAGATTACAAATATAAAAATGTTTAAGTAAAGTCAGATATTAAAACTTTGTGAACATCATTGCCAATGATAGGGCAAGGCAAGTGTATCCAAACAAATGAGTTAATATATGTAAAACATGTAGAACAATCCTGAACTGTAGTATGTATTATTATTATTTTTACACTCTATTTTCCTTATAAACATCCTTCAACTTCAGCCCTTTTGTTATGTACAAAAGTGGTTCCTGCCTGACGCAGTGGCTCACGCCTGTAATCCCAGCAGTTTGGGAAGCTGAGGCGGGTGGATCACCTGAGGTCAGGATTTCGAGACCAGCCTGGCCTGCCTGGTGAAATCCCATCTACTAAAAAATACAAAAATTAACTGAGCATGGTGGCGCATGACTGTAATCCCAGCTGCTTGGAAGGCTGAGACAGGAGAATTGCTTGAACCCAGGAGGCAGAGGTTGCAGTGAGCCGAGATCATGCCACTTCCCTCCAGAGTGGGTAACAGAGCACAACTCCATCTCAAAAAAAAAAAAGGTGGTTTCAGGTGCACTTTCAAATATAATGGGGTTGCGGTAGTTCAAATGAAGAAATTTAAAGATCCCAAATAATTCCCAAACAAAAATAGCCACAGTGCAATTATTTCCTGTGGTGTCTAGAAAAGCATTCAGCATTACCTGTTCACTTGTCACTACCTGTTAAAATGTCTACTCAGATCTGCTCACTTCTCTGACCAGGGAGGCAATGTTTTGTACACTCCAGTGTGCATGCAGCCTCTCATTGCCAGTTACTTGACAATATAGTTATTAGTCCTCTTCTCTCTTGCTCAGTGCCAGATTACCCTCAGTACCATTTTACATGAGTCTCTCAGTTCATAGTGAAGTCTGTGCAGTTCTTCACTCTACAGCATTTACAGAATGGGTCAGAACAGAGATAAATGTCTCCCACTTACTATCTACTTGATGAAGATCTGCGAAGGGATCCGATATGCCATAGGACATTAACTTGAAAACTTTGTTCCTAACAAGCTCTTTTGCAACCAATGTACTGAATGGGCCGAAGAGTGTAAGTAGGATATTTTTTAAACGTTGTTTGTATCTGTCTTCAAATCTGTTTTGTTATATTTTCCTTCCCCTACTCCTTGGCCATATCTTAGACAGACTCTATAGCTGTCCGATTACTTTCAGGCATTGGAACAGTCTCCTTTTCCATCTTCTTTCCAGTTTAATATTCATCCAAGCGTTCAGTTCTCAATTTTAAGCTTCCACTTCCCAGCCTCACTCACAACTGAGTCTTGGTTTCACAGTAATTGCAAGCAAGACCATATCATGATGTTTCACTATGTTTCCACCTTGCTCTTACATCTTCATTCCTGACTCACTACACTGCCTCTGGCTCCCCATAGACGTGGGTTGGGAAGAAGGATGAATGTTAAATTGGAAAAATCTATTTAAAATTAGTGGCTGCCATGTGTATTTTCTCCTGGTTGGAAATCCTCTGTCATGGAAGATGTCCAAACATTGGCTATCTCACACATGGGATGTTTTGGTGGGTAATCTGCAGACCCTTCCTCATAGGAGCTTTCAACATTTTATCATTTACCAGTGAGCAGCATTTTTTCTGAATGCTTTCAAGTGGCTTATCCCAAGTCCCCATTTCTAATGGCACCCCATAGAACCTTCATTTGCTGGGTCATCTTGCCTCACTAGACATCCTCTCTAAAGGGCTCCAGTAACTGTACCCTTGCTCTACTACTAATGAATTTATTTGCTTTCACTGCAGCTTTCTTGTTCTTTAGCAGTTACTCCAGGTAGCTTTTTATAATTTAAACTCTTCTAGGTAAAAATCAAACACATTCCTGGTGCACATTGAAACCAGGGTAAACAGATCAGCATCACCCAAGCTCATTTCCACAGCTCAGCCAACAACCACCAGGGACAATATGGCAGTTTCCCTTCATCATAAGAAGACATCCTCTGCCACTTAGCTGAGTTAGAAGAAAACAGCTTCGTTCTGAGTCAGCCAACAATCCTTTTCAAAGCATCTTCCTCCTACTTCTCCAAATTTATTATCTCCTGTCATGTTGACTAAAGGTCATAAGATCATTTTTATTTCCACTCTTTAGCAAGTTCTTTGGAAATGTCTCTGGTCTTCAGGAACAAGAGAGCACTTAAAATATAATGTTCACAGCTTTGAAGCCTCTGCTGACATGTGGGTCAGGAGGGTCATATTTAACATTAATACTCTAGAATTAGGGAAAATAAACATAACTTGTGGGCTCACTTTCCCTAGTAATTAGTTTAGAGTTTATTAGGAATATACCTGTAGCAATTAGATATATAACAACAGCTTCAGAAGTCAAGCTAAGATATTTTCAAGGCAATAGGAGAAACAGGGAAGAACACTTTCAAACCAAACCTGGATCTTTAGTGACTCAATTTTGTTGGATAGTCTCCCGAGCATCCATTTCCCTGTCCTCTCAATGAATGTGGTGCTTTTTAAATATGTCTGCAAACTCTTTTATATTATACTCCTCACTTCAAGAAGTGGAGTTTGATTCCCCTCTTCTGAAATGTGGGCTGGATTTATAACAATAAACTTCTAACCAATAGATTATGGCAGAATTGATAGATTACGACAAGGCATAAAATTTGTTGAGGGTTCTTGCTTTCTCTTGGGCCCCTTGCTTTGGAAAATGTCAGTTGCCATGCATTCAGGACACTCAACCATGCTATACAGAGGCCCATGTGACAATAAACTGAGGACTTCTATAAAGAACCATGTGAGCGAAACATCTTCAAAGTAGTATTATAGCCCCTGTCAAGCCTTCAGTTAACCACAGCCGCAGCTGACAATTTGACTGCAGACAGCTGAAAAACTCTGCACCGGAACCTCAGCTAACCTCTCTCAAATCCCTGACTCACAGAATTTGTGATTTAATAAATGTTTGTTATTTTAATTCACTAAGTTTAGGGGTAATTTTTACACAGAAGTAGACAACTAATACAGTATGGTATTTTATATATTAAAACACATTTAAAATCCCATATATTCTTTCCTGAATTCTATGTGCCATGTACACCCAAAATATACCAATAATCAAATGCATGCCTTGACTCAAAGTCAGGTGCTGGGATAACTTCTTTTTATAACAGTCTAATCATTCACTGAGCATGATTACTAATTCACAGATGGATCAGCTGAGAACCTCCCTGACTCTTCATGAAATGATTTGTTCTGTCAGGAGTTATGGAGGACATACACAGATTAATACAATGTGAATCTGTTTATTAAGGACCATACTGAGATTCATGGTCACAAGGGCCAATAGTAAGTAAGGAAGAGAGGACAATATTGTGCAAAATTATTCCTCTGTCACTAACATTTTAAACTCAAATATTATAACATTCCTATTTGTTAGATTAATTAAGTGCTAAAATTCATATAACTTCAGTAGAGATAGTTCTTTATGTTGTTTGGGGTAAACATGCTTTTGAATATGAATGAAAAGAGCTACATTAGGGTGTGGACTATCAAGAAGAAAAAAGGGAAATTAATTAAAAAGCTGAGAGAGTGCTAAGGAAAAATTCACTGGCTTTCCAGACATACTGTGGCTGGCCTTGTGCCCTTTTAAGCTCTGTGAATTAGAGGCCAGCAGCTCCCAGAAGGCGAAGACTAAACTGTGTGTCTGTTATGAATAGCACCTAACACCATCCAGTCAGTGGAATACTAAACCACAACAAAATCATCAGGCACCAGATAAAGTCAGATGTCTATCCTAATAAACAGCTGTTAGACTTGGAACTGTCAGGAATATTGCATGCAATTTCCTGGACATTTTCATTAGGGTCACCTAGGAACCACACCAACAACAAATAGCAAGACAAAAATTTACCCAAGAATACAACCAGACTCCTGGAGTGTTGCCAGTCCCGAAACAAAACTTGCTGCCACTCAGCTGAGCTGTGTTTTACACATATGTGACAGAGACTTGACTGTTGAATCTCACAGCAATTCGGAATGAAAAAACCAAAGGAATGTAATCAGAAACAGGACAGTTGGAAGAAATAGGGTCACTGTGATTAGCTGAGTCAAAGGGCATCCATTCCCTACATTTCAAGTTTTTACTTGAAAAGTAAAAACCAAAGGGCAGGCTGTTCTGGAGATCAGAAATCAGAGATGTCTCAGAGTGCAGCTTTGGTTATACACAGAGAAGAGAAACTGTGACCTTGTGAATACAATCTCCATTGATGTAGAAAAGTCTAACCAAAAAATCTAGTAAGAATCTTGTTACATACATATATGTATATGTGATAGATCATACACATTGTATCCCACTACTAGCAGGAAGCTTCCCTGAATATATACCACAACCACCTACATGTTTGAACTCATGTTTGGAGAATCTGTTTGCATATCTACTGAGTTAGATCCTACAGAATAAAAAGGGTTCTCTTTCTACATGTCAAAACTAAAATGTTATATTAGATGATTACTAGTATGCTTATGGTTCTGATTCTTCAACAGAAAGAATATTTGAGACCACATGAGAACAAAATGTCATTATATACCAAACTTTTTAAAAAACAACTTAGATTCTAGTGAAACTATATTCAATGTGAAAACACAAATTGGTTAGAAACATGAGACATATATTACTTTGACACTTCAGACTTTTAAAAAAAATGCAGATTAAAACTAGACATTATTTTACAGTGGGAAAAGCCATTAGGGTTGATTTTTGTCAACTTTATGTTTAGGTCACAGATGTTAGCATGACACTTAATATTTCTGGCTTATGGGAAAAATTAGAACATAATGCTCACAATTTAACTGATATATAGCTTGTATGCAACTTTTTTATGTAAGAAAAATTTAAATACAATTTTAATAACTGAAGGAATTCCATAATATTCTGACTTAGTAACTTAAG